AAACGTTGGTGATGTTTGCTGTTGCTTTTCTTCCACGGAAAGGAGAAGTTCCGTTATTCCTGCAGTTTCTACTTCTAGGGTAGACTGATAGTTTAACTGACGGACAGCGGAACCGATCAATCGAACGACCCACTCGTTCGTCAATCGGTCTGTCTGACCATCGGTCACTCGATCATTTAGCGGTTTAAGCGGTCACTGTCAACTGATCTGTTTGCCAGCAGATCCTGGGTAGTACTTCGGTCGAGGTCAGATTCTGAAACATACTGTGCATATTGAACAGCTGCTCTAGCTGTTGCGGCAGTTATATTTTCCGCCCAATCAAAGGGTACCTTTCGTACTTTTAAAGGCTTGAGTCCGTAATATGCCTCCGTATCGAATTTTTACACTTTTCCACAGACTTCTTCTACGTGATATTTCAGCGGTTCGAGCCAGAGCTGCACTTCTTGCAGTGATGCGGTGTGCAGATGAAGTAAGTCTCCTTTTATACTAACCTAATCGTTGGTATACTGCGGGTTCGCTGTACCCTCCAAACTGACGGATACCAGTGATGTGCAAATTTGAATACTTGTATGACTAGTTTATACCAATTACTATGACCTTCGTAGTTCTCAGAGCGCTATCGTGATTGTTTGAAAGGTTGCGCCTCCTTAAATTCCTTTCATACATTCCTCTTTCAGGTTCTCCTGTCAAAAATCCAGCTGGCACAATCGGCTGTAACACCGAAATTCTTCTGCATCCGTTCAGAAGCGGTACTCCTGAGGAAACGATTTACTTCATCGAACTTTGGGATATCGGTGGGACGTTCAGCCATCGAAACTGTCGCAGGATATTCTATCAGGTATTTTGAGAATTATGCGCTCAGCTTAGTCTGCTAATGGTAGCATATAGCATCGTCGGAAGAAAGGAAATTTTGCAACCGTTGATATATCGGCCTCCGTTACACTTTCATGACTGAGAACTATCTGTGGCACCTCCATTTCATGAAACATTAAGCGGCTCTGATCTCTTTTTCTATGTAATCAACCAGAAGGGGTACCTAATTTTGTTTATTAAAGCGGAATCTACAGCTCTATTATAAGTATAGCGTGTAGTTTACCGTTTTCTTTTCTGATGTGACCGGAGCTCAAACCCAGCACCTCTTTGTTTTAGGTCCTGCGCTCTACCTATTGAGCAACCCCGACCTAGTGTTATTATTGTCATCAGCATTCATAGAAATATATCTTGCCCAAGCCATATTGACTAGTTTTTATTAGTTATTTGTCTCAGTCATTTGACGATTATAATCTGTAAAGCTTTCCTGTTCCACTTGTTTATTGCATGAATGAATGTTAATATAACCTTGATGGTTTCTTCCAGTTTTGCAATTTGTGTTGAATGTTAAGTGTTACTGATATTTTAGCAATATCATATAATCGTGACTTAAATGTACACCACAGCAATTTCTAGAATGTGGATGGAATCATTCTCGTTTATGACCTGTCGAACAGCAGGTCCAAGGAATGCCTTTTCTACTGGCTTGGAGAAGTTCTCGAAGGGCCGTCAGGGTCGCCGAAGGTGAACTATGCTTTTGACAAGGAACAATACGTTGCCGAAGAGAAACCAGTGATTAGCATCGGTACAAAATTGGATCTGATGAACGAGCCGAGGGAAAAGCCACTGTATCACAGAAGAACTAGCGACGAGTTTGACCTCGGCGAGCATGTCTTTGTCGACTGCACGAAACCCATCGGCGCAACGTCCACGGCCAGATTACAGATCAATAAGTTCTTTGACCGCGTCATCATCAAACATGTCGGGCGCGACCTGAGTTTCGAGCATCGACGCAAACTGGAC